CTCACGAGTCGTCTTTCCCAACCCCTCAGAAAGAATAAATTGCTACTGGTACCTACTCAAAGCTCTCTATTGCAAGTTATATTACAATAATTTGTTTACAATTCCTTACTCCCTGTTATTCATTTAAAATATCTCACTCACTCTTTTTTGAACACCTGGGAGGCCTTACTCTATCTAGCAGAGTGCCTGGCACATAGTAGACAACAAATATTTGAGTTAAATTAATTACTGTAATAATATATGCTAGAATGTATGCTATGGTTACTATGTGCCAGGCATAGTACTGAGCACTTTATATTAACCAATTTAATATTCCTAAACAATCCAGTGAAGTAGGTGCAACTAATTACTCCTATTTTATAAATGAGTAACCTGAGACTTAGTAATATTAAGTAACTTTTCCCAACTTATGATTACTTGAAAAATAGTAAGTTGGGGTAAATATTGGGGTCTATGTATTCCCAGCTAACACTTTCTACAAACATATTTAGCTAGTTAATTTTGTTGTTGTTACTGTTCCTCGGATACGAGACAGAAATTGTGTGTGTATGTACATGTGTGCACATGTGCATGCATGTGTATTTCACGTATCTGTCTTAAGCATCACCCATCCTTCCTGCTTTATTTTTCTGTTCCTGATTTGTCCTTTTATTTCAGAACTTTAACTGATTCCTGATCCCTTCGAGTCCCTCTGAGAGTTGTCATTCATAAACACATCTTCTAAGGTCCTTTTTTCTCTAGACAGAACATATTCTTAAAAACCATCTTTTGCTATCATCATCATCTGACTGCTTTCACTGTCTCTGGAGACTCTGGAATACTTTGACATCAACATCAACATCATGGCTGTCTCTCCCCACTCCAGAGTCACCTACAAAGTTGATAAAGCTTTTAGTATTACAGGTTTAAACTACAGTGACAATGTGTTTCTGTGCAGTATTTGGGGGGGGGGGGTTCCCAGTCTAGGTGGTGATGAGACAAGTCTAAGAGATGTGCCGCAATATTGTGGGAGAGTGAGATACAAGGGGAACAACTAAGAGAATGGTACCCTCTTGGTCTGGTTTGGCTGCAGTCCAAACTTGGGGATAAGGGAGTTAGTTGGACAGTGTGCAGTTTTCTGTGGTAGCCCAGGCCAAACTCTAACATACTTCTTGACCCAAGAGAATGCATCTTCCTTCTAGGCCATTCCAAGGAGTCAGTGTTTTTAATGGTAGCCTCAACCTTGCTTATTTTAAACCTACAAGTTTCTAGCTAATGCAGAATGAAACCATTCTTTCATGAATAAAGTAAGGTAGATGCTGTTTCATGGCCTTTAACAACCTCTTTATTAATTACGGAGTCCCTGGGTGGTGAAAATGGTTAAAGTGTGCTTGATTGCTAACTGAAAGGTTTGCAGTTTGAGTCCACCCAGAGGCTCCTTAGAAGAAAGGCCTGGTGATCTTTCAATCAACCACTGAAAGTTTTACCCTGACACACAAGAAGTCGCCATGAGTCAGAGCTGACTGGACAGGAACTAGGAGTGTGTGTGTGTGTGTGTGTGTGTGTGTGTGTGTGTGTGTGTAGAATAATTACAGAGGAGATGGTCTAAATTGATGGAACAAAAGGAAAGCCTTGGAACGCATCACTTAGTAGGTCCAGTAAGCATGCTTTACTGCCCACCCCAGTTTCTCCTATTATGGAAAAAGTGACATTTACCACTAGATAACTATTTCAAAAAACACTTTGATATACACTCCTTTTCGCTGTGCAAGGTTATACAAAGAAATGTCAGTAACAACATTTCTTAGTTTCTAATTATTCTGGAGATTTCTATTTCACTCTACCCCTTTCAAATTTTTATATTGCCTATGCATTTGCTTCCACCTCCTTTTATTTTTTCCCCACAGTATTGCCAAGGTTGTGTCTGGTTGTGTACTACAACATAATCTTTTTCAGTGTTATTATGTAAACATTTTCAGAAAGTCAGGACAGTATTTTCTAATTATTACTATGCTTTCATGTTCTCAAGTAAATAAGATGCTACGTCAGTGCAAAACATTTCAGTTAAATTATGGGCAATTTTTACTGAGCACATGGTTTAACTAACTGGTCTCCCCACGCCCCCTTTTCCAGCCTCTGCTTTGTCTTTAAATAATAGCCAATTATACTGATCCCAATTTAGCACTCCATTTCTATGAACATCCACCTTAAATATCCTAGTTTTCTTGTGTTTGCAGAATGTCTTTTTAAGAAATATATACTAAAATATTATCTAGTTTGTAGTTTTGTTTTAAAAAATTAATCTTTAACACTTTGCTCCTTTATTTTGGGGACCACCATTTTTTTTAAATTATATGAACTCTTGTCTAAAATCCATTCCTAGAATGAGTGCAATAGCGATGGTGTGAAAATGTTTCCCAAAGGAAAGAAACAAGATAAACACATAGCAGTAAATTCTATGTCTGCATATGTTGCAACTAGTACTTTTGAATACATTCTCAATCTTATATTTCCTTCGTTATTTGCATTTTTCTGCAAGACTTGACTCCTGCAGTTTGAATTGCTTTGTAAGTCCTCCTCTCCTTCGGATGCCTATACTCAGTAGTTATGTTTTCCTAGCCTTGTATCACTAGTTTGCTTTACATTTTGGTTTAAATTTCAGTATTAGGACTTACTTTCTGGTGCCAGGAAAGTTATAGCTTGGATCCTCTTTCTGGAAGTCAGGACCATCCCACCTCATTTGCTTTGAGCGGAACACTCTCTTTAAAACACTTTCTTTAAGAAACTTGGAGATGATCTTCTCTCTTTGAACATTACTGAATATTTTGCCTTCTGGAAGCCAGCTGATCTTGTCACATCCACCATGGCAGGGGGGAAGGGGAAGGTGTTCAGGAGACACAACGGCCCTCTTTGGAATAAAAAAAGGAATTGCCTTTTGCCTAAAAGTCATGAATAAAAGATCAGCCTAACTAGAAAAACAACCGAGCATCCTGCAGCTGCTCTGCTGTGGGATCAATTTAGTTAATAACACACTGCAAGTACTTAAGCTCACCGCTGGCCCTACATAGCAACCCCTCATCACAATAAGGGAAGGAACTCGGGCTTGGGAGGATTCTTTTGAATCTTTTCTCACAGGAATATAATATATTAAAAACTTGGAAAAGGTAAATATATTGGTCACTGAAGAAGAGAATTGGAAATAAGCGGAATACAGGACCAGATACAAAATGGAAGCATTTGTATCATCAGAGAACATTAGCACTATAGGCTGACACCTGGGCAGGCTTTGAGCAGCCTTCACTCCCATTCTAAACAGTGTTTTTTTCCACCACACCATTACTAGGGAAAGATTGGTAGGATTGTTAGAAGAAGTCTTGCCCATTGCTAAAAGATTTATCCACTAGATAGTTCACTTAAAAATAAAATTTAATAATTGTGTCCTACTTCTGATTTCAATCAAGCTCAAAAGCTTCAGATAACTATAAACATTCCCTCAGTTGCTGTTTAAGGAAATGATTAATTAGCATGGAGTGTAAAGAATCACATTTAATAGATCATTTCTTTGGCGTGTCAAAAGACTTAAAACATGGTTTGTTCTTTCCTATTTATGTAAATGAAGATTTAGAGTAAAATATTCAACTTTTCTTGAATGAAAGAAGCTAAGGGATACGTCTTCTGGATACCAGAATGTTCTACCTCCCTCTCTCCCACCAAAGCACCCATAAAATTCTAAAAATCACATTTATATTCAACTGTTTCGGTTTAGTTCTATAACATATTTTGAACATGTTTGCATTTAAATTATACCTTTTGATTTCTTTTTTAACACCTATACTTTTTAAGTTTGCCAGCTGAAAATTAAGAAGTGTAATTTTATATCTCCTGCTCTGAACACTAACGTGGCATGGTATAATCATGATGTTTATATCATCCTGGCCAGAGGTTGTTAAGTTTGGTAGAGTTCAAAATTCCCGTGACTCTATTATTTTGAACAAGGGTCTTGTTCAATTTACTTTAATTCACCTTTCTCCATTTAGCCCTCTTCTCATCTCTCTATTGCCAGCTTCTGTCTTTTCATTTCTGCGATTTCTTTGGCACACTGGAAAACACTACCAGCTTTTGCCATAGCGTGCTTGGCTCACATGACTACTTTCCACATTACTAGCCACTTTGCAGTGTGGTTACCCAGCCCAGTTCATAGAGTGATTAGGATGAGCCAGGGCCAGCTAGAGGAGCACGGGGAAATTAAAGAGCAGTTATAACAAACCTTCGAGTTTGCATTTTTGTCCCAAATCTGGGAGTTGCTCTTAGCAGCTTCTGTCTTGCTCAGGGCTATCAAGTTTGGTGGTTTAAGATTATTCAGTACTTCTATTGTCCTCTGCTCTTTTGTCTACAAAGAAGTATGGCTCCTACCAGTAAAGCTAGAGCTGACCATTTTTGTTTGCTTATTTTATTTTGCCTCAGTGTTAGTTTGGATAAGAATCCGAAGCTGTTTGGCTTCTTACCTGTGTTAATCTGGACATTTTCTCAGTTTTGGACGGTGAAGCTCTTTCCTCGGTTCTGCTTGAGGACTCTGCTGATGTAACTACTCTCTTGGGGCTTACGAGTCTGTGGAGTCTTAATTACGTACACACAGTGGGCAAGGCCTCTACTAAATGTAGGGCCAGGAAATATCACTGGAGGTGTGCGAGCTCTGCTTCCCCCTTTCCGTTCAGGGAAGCACACTGTTTTCCTCAGGAACTGTCCATGTCTATACAGGGCACTAGTTTCTACCTAAAATCTCTGTAAGGCCCTGCAGGATGTTTTTAATGGTCTGACTTCCTCAGTATTGTCAATGCAGGCTGATGCTCAGGGTTCCAGGCTAACGTTAGCCTGGGCCATTGTGACCCTCAGAATGCTCAGCAATAGAGACCAGAAAAGAGGTTCCATGATACCTTCTCAGAGATGGAGGAAAGCTTGAAGAAAGGGACTCCACTCTTCAAATTCCCTGTTTGTTCCTCTCTGTAACTCATTCAGTCATCATGGAAACAGCCAGCAATACTCGAATTACACTGAAATTTCCACCCCTTGACAAAGGTCAGAAGGTGAAAAATTATGATCATCCTGAAGTTCTGCGTGACACCTTTGAGACTCTATCTAACCTCCACAAGCTGCTGCCAAGTCGTCTGATGGAGACGCTCTACTCCCTCAAAAGTGAAGAGGACAAAAGAAAATGTAAGTGGGTATAGGGCGGGTGTGAATTCTTTTTAGGAAGCATACATTTCATCCTGGTACAAACTGTCTGTCCTTTTAGCAAGGATAAGAACTTCTTTTCATTGAGGTGTTGGCAGTCCTTGAAACCCCTGGCACTGTCCAGTACTGATTATACTGTGCAGGCCCAAGCTCTGAGGGCTCAATGTGGAATTCACTCATGCACTGACTTAACCATCGCTTTCTGATGCCACTTTTGTTTAGTTAAACAGTCTTCACTCTTCTTTAGGCAAACCAAACCCATGGAAAGTTGGAAAGGGAACCAAGTAGGAAATAACACCAAATTTATAATTTAAACTTTAGATCTGATTTTAATATTAGTGAGAGAACTTCTAAGTTGAAGGCTAGATTTTGAAGTTTATTCCTTTGCTCTATTTCCTACTACTACTTCCTCCTATTGCCAGAGTTGTACCACCCCACAGAAAAGCTGGATACCACCCCCAGCCCTAGCAACCTGCACTTTTTGTAATTTGGGGTGTCCTGTCACTCCTGGGCAAACCCTGATGGCATAGTGCTTAAGAGCTACGGCTGCTAACCAAAAGTCGGCAGTTTGAATTCACCAGGCACTCCTTGGAAACTCTATGGGACAGTTCTACTCTGTCCTATAGGGTCGCTATGAGTCGGAATTGACTCAATGGCAGCAGGTTTTTTTTTGGTCACTCCTGGAATTCTATCAGGAAGGCTAATAACTGATCTTATTTGCAGAATTGGGTGGAATCAGCCTCCTGAATTGTTCATGCTAAAAGGTAGAACAAAGGTAGATGGTAGTCACCTGTGCCCATGAACTTGAAAAGTAAAACAGAAGCTGCTACAGTGATTTAAGACATGAGTCCTAGAAAGGAAAGTAGGTATTGATACAATGATTTTAAAACATCTTGGCAAATTTGACCATTTGCACTCGGATCAGTCCCTAATCCTAGAATCCAGAGTACTGTGAATCAACCCCAAGAATTCTCCTTCTCTAAATTGAGCTGTTGATCTATCTCAGTAAGAACCACTTTACAGATTTTACTTACGTTTTCTTGGGTACAACTAGTCTTGCCATGGTCCTTTATTAGCCTTTCAATTTTTTCTGAGGTGATGGAGGAGAAAGAACTGATAGTTTGATTAGTTCTAGATGGTATATTTGGCCATGGTGTGATTCTGCTCTGCATGGCTGTTTTCAGCAGCAGTAGTGGCTTATCTCTGTTCTCCTCTCCCACCTAAGTGCATGCCACCACACCATGGAAGATTCGATGGACATGGACACGAGCCCCCTGAGGCCCCAAAACTATCTTTTTGGCTGTGAACTAAAGGCTGACAAAGATTATCACTTTAAGGTGGATAATGATGAAAATGAGTGCCAGTTATTTTTAAGAATGGTCAGTTTAGGGGCTGGTGCAAAGGATAAATTGCACATTGTTGAAGCAGAGGCAATTAATCATGAAGGCAGCCCAATTAAAGTAACACTGGCAACTCTGAAAAGGTCTCCCTTGGAGGCTTTGAAATAACGTCACCTGTGGCTTTAGGGTAGAAGTGTGGCTCAGGGCCTGTGCATGTTAGTGGACAGCACTTAGTAGCTGTGGAGGGAGATGCAGAGTCAGATGATGAAGAGGATGAGGATGTGAAACTCTTAAGTATATCAGGAAAGCGATTTTCTCCTGCAGGTAGTAATAAGGTTCCACAGAAAAAAGTAACACTTGCTGCTGATGAAGATGATGATGAAGATGATGAAGATGATGAAGAAACAGAAGAAAAAGTTCCAGTGAAGTAATCTATACAGGATACTCCAACCAAAAATGCACAAAAATCAAACCAGAATGGGAAAGACTCAAAACCATCAATGCAAGATCAAAAGGTCAAGAATCTTTCAAAAAACAGGAAAAAACTCCTAAAATGCCAAAAGGACCTAGTTCTAGAGAAGACATTAAAGCAAAAATGCAAGCAAGTATAGAAAAAGGTGCTTCTCTACCCAAAGTGGGAGTCAAATTCATCAATTACGTGAAGAATTTCTTCCGGATGACTGACTAGGAGGCTCTTTAAGATCTCTGGCAGTGGAGGAAGTCTCTTTAAGAAAATAGTTTAAACAGTTCGTTTAAATTTTCCATCTTATTTCATTTCTGTAACAGTTGATATTTGGCTGTCCTTTTGATAATGCAGAATGAGAACTTTCCCTACTGTGTCTGATACATGTTGTCCAGGTTCCTTTGCCAAGAATGTGTTGTCCGAAATGCCTGTTTAGTTTTTAAAGATGGAACTCCACCCCTTGCTCGGTTTTAAGTGTGTGTGGAATGTTTTGATAGGACACAGTAGTAGCAGTGGTCAGACAAATGGAAATGGTGGGGAAACAAAAATATACATGTGAAATAAACTCAGCATTTTAACAAAGTAAAAAAAAATAAAAGAAAGTAGGTTTGGTAAGTAGATCTTTGAAAAACTTCATTAACACACAATAACTGACTTACTAGTTCCTCACTTCTTCATTTTACACAGAAGTTAAGAAATTCACAAGCTATCCCTTTGTTCAAAAGGCATTAAGGAAAAGAAACAGGGCAACGGTCTAGAAACTTTTTGCTCACATACCCTATCAGTGAAAAAAAATGTGATCCTAATATATGTGTAAATGCATATATTTACAAATTACATACACTACTGTATGTTATGAACTTTATAAAATGTCACAAAATAGAAGCTAAAAAATGGTGAGCAATGTAAATATAAATGGACACTCTACATTTTATCTCTGCATTCCTGTGGATCATTTTGTGCGCCCACCTGGGTTGAGAGCTTTGTTGGAGCCCCTCTTTGGAGACCACAGCAATGGAGAAAATTCAGAAAAGTAATAACGTAACTAGTCATGTCAAGACATGAAATGGGTGAAAATTTTCATTTGAAAAAAATCTAACTTAATGTCACCTGGACCAGAATGGAAATGTCTTTGTTTTATTACGGAGGGAATAAAGATTATAGACGTTCATCCTTTAGCTGAAATTGATATCCTAATCATTTATAGCAAATAAAAATGTAACCAAATAAAGGCATCATGGACTGGAAGACTTAATATTGTGAAGATGTCAATACTACCTAAAGTGACCTACAGATCCAGTGCAATCCCTATCAAAATCCCCACAACCATTTTTGCAGAAATGGAAAAGCTGAGCCTCAAATTCATATGGAATTGCAAGGGGCCCTGGATTGTCAAAATAATCTTAAAAAAGAAGAACAAAGTTGGAGGACTCACACTTCACAATTTCAAAACTTACTACAAAGTTACAGTAATCAAAACAGTGTGGTGCTGGTGTAAGGACAGACGTTTGGGTTATTTCCACCTTTGGCTATGAACACTGGTGTATAAGTATCTGTTTGAGTCTCTGCTATCAAATTTTTCTGGCATATACCTAGGCGTGAAATTGCTGGGTCATATGGCAATTCTATGTTTAATTTTTTTGAGGAACCACCAAATTGTTTTCCACAGCAGCTGTACTACTTTGCAATCTCACCAGCAGTGCATGAGGGTTCCAGTTTCTCCACACACCAACATTTGTGATTTTCCATTTTTTATGATAATAGTCATCTGAGTGAAGTAGTATCTTATTGTGGTTTTGATTACATTTCCCTAACGGTTAATGTCTACGGCCATACAACTCTGAACGTGCCCAGTCTCGCCTGATCTCAGAAGCTAAGCAGGGTAGCGCTGGTTAGTACTTGGAATGGAAAATGCCTGGGAATACTGGGTGCTGTAGGCTTTTGGAGGCCTGGATGCACAGTGGTTAAGAGCTTGGCTGCCAACCAAAAGGTTGGCAGTTCAAATCCACCAGCTGCTGCTTGGAACTCCTATGGGGCAGTTCTACTTTGTCCTACAGGGTCACTATGAGTTGGAATCGACTCGACCCGACGAGTTTGGTTTGATTTTGGTTAATGACTAATGACATTGAGCATCTTTTCATGTTCTTGTTGGCCATTTGTGTATCTTCTTTGGCAAAATGTCTATTCAAGCCTGTCTTAGTTACCTAGTGCTGCTATAACAGAAATACCACAAGTGGATGGCTTTAACAAAGAGAAATTTATTCTCTTACAGTCTAGTAGGCTAGAAGTCTGAATTTGGGGCACCAGCTCCAGGGGAAGGCTTTCTCTCTCTATTGGTTCTGGGGGAAGGTCGTTGTCATCAATCTTCCCCTTGGTCTTAGGAGCTTCTCAGCACAGGGTCTCTGGGTCCAAAGGACGCGCTCTGCTTCCAGCTCTGCTTTCTTGGTGGTAAGAGGCCCCTTCCCCTACTTCTTTCTTTTATATCTCAAAAGAGATTGACTCAAGATACAACTTAATCTTATAGACTGAGTCCTGACTCATTAACATAACTGCCTCTAATCCTGCCTCATTAATATCATAGAGGTAGGAGTTACAACACTTAGGAAAATCACATCAGATGAAAAGTGGACAGTCACACACAATACTGGGAATCATGGCCTAGCCAAATTGATACACATTTTTGGGGAACACAATTCAAGTCTTTTGCCCATTTTTTGATTGAGTTGTTTGTCATTTTGTTATTGAGTTGTAAGAGTTCTTTATATATTCTGGATATTCAATTCTTATCAGATATGACACCAAAAGCATGAACAACAAAAGAAAAAATGGATTGGACTCCATCATATTTAGAAATTTTTGTGCATCAAAGAGCTTTATCAAAAAAGTGAAGAGATAACCTACAGAATGGGAGAAAATACGTAGTAATCATATATCTGATAAGAGTCTTCTGTTCTCTACTGTTCCAGTTTTTCTGGATTTTTTTTTTTAAATAAGAATTTGAGCTCTGCTCCATGTTTTTCTCCCATTCTATCCAGGACCAACTACTGTGACCCTAGTCAGAACCGTCCGTGGTGGTAGCCAGGCATCATCTAGTTCTTCTGGTCTCAGGGTAGATGACATTATGGCTCTTGTAGACTTGTTTCTTCTCTGCACTTTTGGTTACCTTCTTACTGTTTTGC